CTTATAGCTTTGCACGAAATTCATAACAAACAAACAAACTTTTTGATGATATGTGTGCAAAGTTGTCTATTACGAGGATACCAGTAGAATTTTTATTGTGCAGGTGGAGTTGTAGCTGTGTGAGCTTACCAAGGAAAACGAAACAACTTTATTCAACCTTTAAGTTTCTTTTTTGTTTTGAAATTATTTTCTTTATTTAGACCTGTTAAAATGCACTGAGTATTTTGCTTTTAAATATTTTTCACAAAATTCTGAATATAATGAATTCTTAGTCCCTTAACTCATACATGTATACCTTTTTTTATTTGAACCAAAGGTTCCTTTAGGAGCTGGTATCAGTTTCGCCTTGAAATATCAAGGTAAGGATGACATCTGTGTGACGTTGTATGGAGATGGAGCAGCCAATCAGGGCCAAGTGTTTGAAACCTATAACATAGCTAAGCTATGGGAGCTCCCTGTTATCTTTGTTTGTGAAAACAATGGATTTGGAATGGGGACAAGTTCAGACCGGGCTTCTGCCAGTACTGATTACTACACACGAGGCGATTTCATTCCTGGTATTTGGGTGAGTTTGTGCAGTGCAAGCTAGTCATCTCTATTAACATCATCAATATTTGTAGAAATAAAACGTTCTAAAGTTTGTAATGCAATCTGGTTATTTTTGGTAACCCTAACTTCAGTTAGTCAACCTTCAGTTGTCTGTGCCTGATGAGCTGTTGTATCATAGCAAAAGTTTAAAAGCGTTCATTACAATGCAGGAAAAAGGAGAATGAATTTCTAGATGGAATCAACATGTGAAAACAATTACGAGCACGGGAATTATAACTTTATTAGTATTCAACATGTGTGAAAACAATTACGAGCACGGGAATTATAATTTTATTAGTATTCAACATGTGTGAAAACAATTACGAGCACGGGAATTATAATTTTATTAGTATTCAACATGTGTGAAAACAATTACGAGCACGGGAATTATAATTTTATTAGTATTCAGCATGTGTGAAAACAATTAAAAGCACGGGAATTATAATTTTATTAGTATTCAGCATGTGTGAAAACAATTACGAGCACGGGAATTATTATTTTATTAGTATTCAACATGTGTGAAAACAATTATGAGCACGAGAATTATAATTATATTAGTATTCAACATGTGAAAACAATTACGAGCACGGGAATTATAATTTTATTAATAATCAACACGTGTGAAAACAATTACGAGCACAGGAATTATAATTTTAGTAGTGACATTCCATGGAAATGTTCTGTATTATTATTTTTTGTTAAATAAAAAGTTTACAGGAGTTAAGCTTCTTTAAGAATTTTTTATTTTATTTTAGAAACACACGATCGGGACCTAAGTCAAAGTGCAATGAATAAAAACAAATGATTTTGGGAAATGAAGCAAAAAATTGTGTGCATTTGAGTATTGATCAGCATACGTTAAAATGTAATTTTTTTTTTTCAGTTATTGTGGAACCAAATGTAGTATTGTCATTGGTAAATATTGAGATGTCTAAAAATGTGTAAATTCATAAACATGAAACTTTAATTTTAGGGCGTTTGTGCTAATTGTTAACACTGTTTCAAATTAAGTAGTACTTTAGAAATATATCTTTTTACTTACAATACAAAAAGGGTGATATTATTTGCCGAAGTTTTTCAAATTTGAGTTCTAAATTAAATAGATAAGTCCATTTAAGAGATTTGTCCTTCGAAGTAATTTATTGCAGGGACACAAGGAGCAACTAAGCTATCAGATTTTGTACATTCACCCTGTAGGTTGACGGAATGGATGTTCTAGCTGTCCGAGAGGCAACAAGATTTGCTACCGAGTTGTGTCGTGCGGGAAAAGGTCCCGTGGTGATGGAAACTGCCACTTATCGGTATCATGGCCACAGTATGAGTGACCCTGGCACGAGGTGAGTAGGTCATTTTAATACAAAAAAATCGTATATGTGAATGGTGAAATATACATCCTAAACATTTGTATATCTACCAAATCACAACTTAAAGATTAAATAAATGGTTGCTTGAAATTGGGGGTTCTCAAACTTATTAGGACTTTGAACCGTTAGGACTTTGAACCACTTTCATAAACCTGAAAACTTGTACTTTTCCATTGACTTACAGGCATACAAGAAATATAGATTTAATAGCTATTATAGTACAGTTCTACACAGCTTATTTTCAAGCTATAAAAATATGGAAAACTGGTATTAAACTTATATTTCTGTACCATCTTGAGCCCACCTTTATGACCTCTTCACTGTGAGAATACTCTGACTTTATTTCTTTCAGTTTAGCAATAATAACACAGGCCTGTTAATTTAAACTTCATAAAAGTTGTTTTGGTTTTAATAACGGATTTTCCATAATTCAGCTACGTGGATTTTGAAAATAATATTCACGTAAGGATTTTTTACAAATCGGGTAGAAGTAAAAATTCTTACTTAGATCAAATTATTATTTCGTTTACCACAATGAATATTTTTTTATTATTATGTTTGTTAACAAAAATACAAACAAGCTGAAGAAAAGGGAAGAACACTGATGTCAAATGAATATGCATCCTCATTTATCCTGATTTGTTTTGTGAAATCTATGTCTTTTAGTCTCAAAACTACGTGTTGTGGTCTTTCTTTTATGTATTACGTTATAACGTTTCGTGAAAAATTTGTATGTGATGGAGAAAAATGGATGTCATTTTTGGATTCAACGTACAGGAATTGCTGTAGAACATGTGTAAGTTTCATGACAATAAAACCATCGCAGACCTGTGTTATTAATGTGAAAAACATTTCTCAGTTAATCATAGTAGTATTTTTGCGTTAGGCTTATTCTCGACTGAGATACGCTGTAAGATATGAGTATTTCAGGATTAATGTATTTATGGCCTTAATATTTAAGTAACATCGTAGTGATTATTCTCAAACAAACAAATAAAATATTTTAAAAAGAACATTTCATACTAAAAATGATGCAGTTATTAGTAAACGTTAATCTAGATCTACCTATAAGTGTTAATAGCTTCTTACCAAAAGATAGCTAACTCTGGAACTCAGAACTGTAAAGTAAACGTATAAATCAGTGAAGCCTATTCCATACTGAGAATAATTATGTAAAGTAACAAGTCAATCTACAATAATAAAAGGGTGTGTCTGTGACCGCCTAACTCCAAGAGGAAAGAACTTAGAAAACTGAAATACTCTTTCAAATAAATATATTACTATGTCACTTAAAATTTATGTTAAAACCTTGTAGTGAGAAGAAGAGTAAGAGGTATTTATACAATTATCCAGGGGACAATAGAAAAAAAAGGCCACTTATTTCTTAGTGCTATGATCGCAGGATGAGATGATACAAAATTAATTACAGTATCAACAATGGAGAGGAAATAAAATTAATAATTTTTTTAAAACAAACATTCTATTTATAATGTTATTAATTAGGAGATCATTTTATCAAAACGTGTTCTTGGATTTGGACAGAAAAATGCTGTTAGTTTTCTCGGTAGTCTGGCAATCACCAGGTGTATTTATAGACGATCCAAGAGAGAGAGAGAGGTCGACAATCCTATGTTTTTAACCCAAAAGAACAGTTTGAAAGTGATATTAAGTTTGACCTATGGTAGAACTTTCATATTAAAGACTTAATTTGTTCAGAAAGTATATTTTGTTGTCCTCGTTAAGGGATGGTTAATGAAACTTACTTTTTTTTCTTAATTATGTTGAAGGCAAAGAATCAACTTAAATATGTATGCATGTATTTTGTTACAGTCATTAGATAACTTTGACAAGAATATTATCAGTTTAAATCATATTTTATCAAAACAGAATTCACAATTTGGGTAATACATGTGTGTGTGTGTGTGTGTATAGCTATCGTACGAGAGAAGAAATCCAAGAAGTACGTCACACTCGAGATCCAATTACCTCCTTCAAGGACAAGATTATTACATCTGGACTTGTAACAAATGATGAACTCAAGGTAATATGGTCATTAATTGTCTTGTTATAGGGAATTTATCATGTAGGTTTGTGTTATTTGAGATTAAAAGTGTAAATCTGTGAATACAGTAGGATCACGTTGTGGTTCAACCTTAGAGTAAACCTGTGAATACAGTAGGGTAGTAGGATCATGTTGTGGTTCAACCTTAGAATAAACCCGTGAATACAGTAGGGTAGTAGGATGGATCATGTTGTGGTTCAACCTTAGAATAAACCCGTGAATACAGCAGGGTAGTAGGATCATGTTGTGGTTCAACCTTAGTGTAAACCCGTGAATACAGTAGGGTAGTAGGACGGATCATGTTGTGGTTCAACCTTAGTGTAAACCTGTGAATACAGTAGGGTAGTAGAATCATGTTGTGGTTCAACCTTAGTGTAAACCCGTGAATACAGTAGGGTAGTAGGACGGATCATGTTGTGGTTCAACCTTAGAATAAACCCGTGAATACAGTAGGGTAGTAGAATCATGTTGTGGTTCAACCTTAGAATAAACCCGTGAATACAGTAGGGTAGTAGGATCATGTTGTGGTTCAACCTTAGAATAAACCCATGAATACAGTAGGGTAGTAGGACGGATCATGTTGTGGTTCAACCTTAGTGTAAACCTGTGAATACAGTAGGATCATGTTGTGGTTCAACCTTAGAGTAAACCCGTGAATACAGTAGGGTAGTAGGATCATGTTGTGGTTCAACCTTAGAATAAACCCGTGAATACAGGCTGATTTGAGTGTATTTTTTCAAGAAGACAAACAATAGTTCCTTGTAAAGTTTGAAGACTGCTTTATTACAAGGTTTTGTTATGATGATAAACTTGTAATAGTTTTTTCGTTACCCATTCAAGCAGTCTTCAAACCTTGGTCTCAAAGTGAGTACCTTGTCATTACATAGTTTCGTGTGTCACATGCTGAAACCAAGACTGAGACTTATAGGCTTTCCAGGATCGAAACCTGACCCAAGGCCAATATTTAAAAAAAGCTTGATCGTATCAGACTTGCACTGTGTAGTCAATACTTTACATGCAAGACTTGTTGTCTACAAATATCCAATTAAAGCCTTTCATACTGGTGTTATAAATACTAGCAGAAATACCTGCCTTTCGGGCAGGTATAACTGCTAGTTCCTGCAGAAGGCTATTGGACCTGCAGCTTTTTCTGGAACTGTCTGACAGTTCTACAACAATTTACACCATCCATGAGAAAAAGGATTTTATTGAAATTTTAGTTTACAACTGAGCTGTCATCACAGAGTAGATTTTATTGAAGTATTTCTTTGTAGATGCAGTTATCAATAAAAGTGCCTGACTTTTCTGTTGCAATACTCATGAGATTTTTGCTAAAGAAAAACGAATAATTATTTATTAAGGTTGTTTTATATTTGAAACTTACTGCTTTTTTCGTAATTTTTATTGGTTAAATCTGTAACTTATTCCTTTTTGTTTGTAATATTTATTGCTCAGCTATAAAAGTGCTGTCTAGTTATGACTGGTGATGATCGGTGTGGTAGTTTCCAAGATCAGAGTTTTGGACGCATAGATTGCAAGCCCCATTATAATAAGATATCTATCAGTTGGCATACATTGCTCAACAAAAGAATTGTAAAACTTTGGTTAAATTTATTACAGTTTCAGTCAATCCACTTTGGAATACACACCGCAAAGAAATGTTGAACAATTAAATTGTGTGACATATTCGACTGACATTTGACGAAAATTAAAACCAATTTTAACGAGGATTAAGTAATTTATGTAACTTAAATGTAACTGACAAGGGATTATGTTTCTAATTCATGATGGTAGAAAAACACTTAGGTTCAAGAAGTCTTGATAGAAATGAATAAAAACACCCTATAACCCGAGGGCTATCGAAAGGGGCAAACTGAAGAAGAAAGGTCCACCTTTAGAAAGTGCTCCGGTTATAGGGTTTTTATTCATTTTTATGTTTCTAATTGATATTCAGTTAATACTTAGCAAGAATTAAATAGATTTCTTGATAAGGATGGCCATATTTCTGTTTGGATAATTTAGTATATAACAAAAGGTAATTTAAACATTAACGGATGGCTACAGATTAATGCACAGCAAACATTTGCTAAGGATGGGTGTTTTATTCTTATTGATATGGATTTAATTATTGTTAAGTGTTAATTACGAATAATGATTAATTAATTGTGATACTCAGTAACTAACAGCATGTCAAGTAAATATTTATTTATGTCATGCAATTTAAACCATTATCACTATTTTTTATTAATTTTGGTATTTGTTTGCATAAGAATAATAAACTTTGCATTTCGAAAGCCGATAAAACAATAAAACGATTGTTGTAGGCCAAGGTCCTTGATATTGTTGTTAATGTTTTCCGTATGATGCAAAAAATAACAACACTTTTCGGTGAAAGCTGGGTGTCGTCATCTGGATGAGTTTGTAATATAACACTGCTGCTGGCCATCCTTTAAATTGGTTCAGCATCAATGATACTATTCCTTAAGCCATATTTCACTTCTTCATATCCCAGATGGCCATCTTCCAACCAAACAAAACTGTAGTTCAGCTCCAGAACACAAGCCGTGAGATAAATCATGTTGCCATAAGACCGATTTCACAAACAAAATCAACGTTTGAAGTTACTTGCAACTTTGTAGAAATGGTGTCGATACCTTGTAATTTGATCTCGAGACCCCATATCTGCTTTAGGATGTGTGAAGAGTATTTGTAAGGTTAAAGAAGAAACATTATTCACTATACTCTTGTTGTTTTTTTTTTATGAGTAGAACAAAACTGACTATTTAATGAGTTTAAAACTTGATTATACTGCAGTAAATTACTTATAGGAACTTTTCGAAATCCAGTTGTCCATTAGAAAGAAAATAAGCTTTATTTACAATTATTGAAACCCAGTATTTACGAAACTTTTCTCATCCTCAGGAAATGGAACAGAACATGAAAAAAGAAATCGATAAGGCCGTAGAAGTCGCAAAATCGTCAAAGGAAATTCCTCTTGAAGAACTGTTTGCCGATGTTTATGTCGAACCAATCAATAACAACATTAGAGGTATTACTCCCTTCACCGTACACAAGCATCAGAGGATCTCGACTCCAGCTAACTTGCACTAGTCCACCTAGATCTGCGATATTCGACTCTGCTATTGAAGGACTTCCTTATTTTAACATCTGCTACGGAGATTTTCAAGCTTAGTTCATATTTTCGGTTGAATTGTTGTTTGCAGAGCACAAAGTTTGAAATAGTATAATAATCAATGTAAATCAAGTACCCTAACATATTTTATGATACATTATAAATAGAACAAACTAAAACAGTTTGTTTTTATGGTGAAAATGTCTTTTTGTTTTACCAAAAAATTTGATTTTAAATAAACCATAATGTATTTTCATAATCGAGAATACAGGAATAAGTTAATATAAATTCAATTTTCTACCCTGCTTTTTGTCTCTGTCTTTCAAAAAATTATATATATATATATATATATATACAGTAC